ATTCAATTTGAAAGCCCTCAATCGTTACATAATAGTGGAAAAATTCCGACTGATCAATGTAACCCGTATACCAGATTTTTTGCAGCAGTCAGATTGGCTGTGCAAAGTAGACCTATCACAAGCCTACTTCCACCTGTCAGTCGCTCACAGCCACAGGAGGTTCCTCCGTCTGATTTATCAAGGCGAATTATTGGAAATGACATGTTTGCCCTTTGGCCTGAGTACAGCACCAAAAACGTTCGCCAGTTTAACGAATTGGATTGCTCAGGTTCTCAGGAAAATGAATATTCGGGTAGTTGTATTCCTCGACGATTTTCTGATCGCAAATCAGGACAGGAATATACTCCAAAATCACGTGCGCCTGACCATACAGCTCTTGGAGTCATTAGGTTGGATGGTCAACTACGACAAGTCGGTTCTAGTGCCGTCAAAGGCCCTGACATACTTGGGAATTATGTGGAACCCATGGACAAACCAGAAACAGCTTCCCGAAGAGAAACTTCCATCACTGATAGCCAAGTTGACAGCGATGCTAGAAAAAAGATGCACAAATCTCTTGAATTTACAAAGTCTGGTAGGACTTCTCAATTTTGCCANATTTAAAGATTCTAAAAGGGTATCGCATACCATTTTATCGAAAACCACCGCTAGTTCATCCAAAAGTATTAAGACACCACTTGAGCGTGCCACATTCAGACGAAATGTCTGTTGTAATAACTCAAATGAAAGACCAAGGAGTCCCAAAAAGTGCTACACCAGGTCCGAGTTTCCTGTCCTCAATTTTTCTGGTCCCCAAGAGCGATGGTACGCCCCGTCCAATATTCAATTTGAGTCAGATTGGCTGTGCAAAGTAGACCTATCACAAGCCTACTTCCACCTGTCAGTCGCTCACAGCCACAGGAGGTTCCTCCATCTGATTTATCAAGGCGAATTATTGGAAATGACATGTTTGCCCTTTGGCCTGAGTACAGCACCAAAAACGTTCGCCAGTTTAACGAATTGGATTGCTCAGGTTCTCAGGAAAATGAATACCATACAGCTCTTGGAGTCATTAGGTTGGATGGTCAACTACGACAAGTCGGTTCTAGTGCCGTCAAAGGCCCTGACATACTTGGGAATTATGTGGAACCCATGGACAAACCAGAAACAGCTTCCCGAAGAGAATCTTCCATCACTGATAGCCAAGTTGACAGCGATGCTAGAAAAAAGATGCACAAATCTCTTGAATTTACAAAGTCTGGTAGGACTTCTCTATTTTGCCAGTTTTACTGTGCCACAAGGCCGCCTAAACTATCGCGCTCTGTTAAATCTACTCAACAAAATGTTGAAGAAGAACTCCAAACCACGACACTACATTCCTCTGGACGCCAGAGAAAACCTAAAGTGGTGGCTACGGAATTGCAAACTGCCATCACCTATTCACATGCCACCACCTTCACATTACCTGACTACCGATGCGTCGGACATAGCATGGGGAGCTCGATTAGATCACCTATCGTTGACAGGGTTCTGGACAAAAAACGAACAAGACCTTCACTGCAACCAGAAGGAAATGTTAGCAATCCTAAAAGTCTTACAAGATCACTCTCAGTACCTGAGTCACAGTACGGTACTAATACAGTGCGACAACAAGACCGTAATTGCATATCTTCGACACGAGGGAGGTACCAAGTCACCCCCCCTGTTAAACCTGACATATCAAATTTATCAAATTCTGGACCAATATCGCATACATGTGAAAATTTATCACATTCCCGGAATTTACAATGGACATGCCGACCATCTGTCGAGGCTGCGACAAGCCCCAGAATGGCATCTTCTTCCCAAGGGCACTCTGAAAGTATTCTCTCAATGGGGGATCCCCTTAATCGATCTATTTGCATCCAATCGAGCACATGTTGTGATCAATTATGCATCGCTGGATCTGAACGATCATCAGGCATTGTTCCACGATGCATTCTCACGGACATGGAACTATCCTCTGGCATGGATTTTTCCTCCACCCTACCTCATTCCCAGGGTACTGAACCATCTCAATCAGTGTCAGGGAATTTACCTGTTAGTAGTACCTCGTTGGGATCGGGTATTTTGGAGAGCAGACGTGAAAGCACGAGCAATAGCCCCTCCACTCACGCTTCTGAACCTAGAGGAAGTCCTGATCGATGTGTCGACAGGCCTTCCACCTCCGAATGTACACGACATGACATTGGAGGTCTGGAAATGTGGGGGTGGACGAAAAATCTAAAAGGTTGGAATAGTCAACAAATTGACCTTCTTCAAAAATCATGGCGATCCTCGACCAAGAAAACTTATGAATCTGCTTGGAAAAAATGGTTAGTGTGGGCTAAGGAGCACAAAATAGATTCATCTAATCCTTCAGGGAGTGACTTGGCGAGATACTTGTCTGATTTATTTTTAGTACATAAACTATCATACAATACTGTCTTACTACATAAATCGGCAATCTCTACTCTTTGTAATGCTGAATGTGCAGGTGTGCTAAGTTCTCATGTTTTGGTTAAACATGTTTTAAAATCAATAGCATTACAAAAACCAATATGTCATAAACCACCGGTTTGGAATATAGATATTTTAGCGTCCTTTTTGGAAAAGCACAAAGTCAATATAAATAATACCTTTGAAACACAACGACATACAGCTGCCCTTTTACTGCTAACCTCGGGACGAAGAATTCATGATCTGACCTTACTTTGTGTTGATTCTAATCACTATATTCTCTCAGACGACTCTGTAGTTTTCTGGCCAGCATTTGGGTCTAAAACTGACTCTGTGAACTACAGGCAATCAGGTTGGAGATTGATTCATAATCCGGCTTGTATTAATTTAAATCCAGTGTTTTGGATAAATCAGACAATTGATTTGCTTAAATCCCATAGAGATTCCGCCAAATGCAGTAATTTGTTTGTAAACACGAAAGGTGTCCCTAGGCCTGCATCGCGGGCAATAATAGCAGGGTGGATCAAAAGTCTTTTGAAGGACGCAGGCATAACTGCCAGTCCGGGAAGTATACGTTCTGCTGTCGCCTCCAAGAATTGGTTGGATAGTTACCCGATTGAAGATATTTTGTCAAGAGGTAACTGGCGATCAACAAATACCTTTTGTAAATTCTATCGACGCGAAGTTATGCCTGCATCAATCACGCCATCAGTGACGGCTTTGTTTAGTGCTGTAGATTGAAAAATATCACAAATTATGTGTATTATTTTTAATCAAGATCTAAGAATTATGATTTATGGTTTTTATTATGTACCTATAATTTTGTAGAAGATACTTTTCCCTTTTGTTTATTTTTAAATATACATTATTATACATATAAAATGTATTTTCATGAATTAGAAAGTACCTACGAATATACCTAATAAAAATGTCACATTGGGCGTCCTTCCACTACCACCAGGCGATAACAAACAAGTCTCAATTAATTAAGCTTCGAATAACGGTCAAGTCAAATTAATAGAGGCGTTTTACGTACCAATAAAACGCTTATTAATTTACTTACCTTATTCGAAGCTTATGAATAAGTTCTGCCTGGTAGTATAGCGACTCAATGATTTCTAGAAATGGCGGACCTTCCTTCAATGGTCGGTCTCGCCCCTGCCAGGCGGTAGTGGTAGAAAGAGATAGCTCTATAGGGTAGAAAGAGATAGCAATATGAGGCGGGAAATGACGTGCCTATCTCAATTAATTAAGCTTCGAATAAGGTAAGTAAATTAATAAGCGTTTTATTGGTACGTAAAACGCCTCTATTAATTATTTTAACATAAACATTTAAAAAGGAAGTCAAGATAAAAATCCTTTTACAAATCTTAGAAGTTAGNTAATAAAATACAAGATTACGAAATTCCGCATGGAAAAAATTCGTAGCGTAAACAATAATTAGAAAATACACAATAAATCTAGTACACAGTCTACGGAGCAGCCACGCGCCGCACTGCGCGCGCGCCGCGTCTTTCAATTGACATTATCCCAAGACCGCGCGTGCGTCGCTTCGCGCCAGTTTCCGATGTGGATGCGGTCATAAATGATGTGATGACCTAACTGAACAGTTAGGTAGCATAACTTGCAACCCAAGAGTGGGGGTGTTAAAATAAATATTGATATAAATTGGTTCTAATGCGACACAACATTTTACACCAAAATTGTGGAGTTTTTTAAAGTGAAAACTATCACAACAGAAACAAACAGAACAGTATTATCATTTGAAAGGCAAAACAAGTGCATCGAGTGCAATGTTGAATCATTCACCCGGTCAGTGAGCACTTGCTGAAGTATAAAAACATTCCCAGCGACTTTAGAACAATGCGTCCCAGCAATATTATAAAGCAAATTAACTAATTTAATTCCAATCAATAAATAGATAATAAATAAACTCCGCTCATAGCGGATAAGTAGGATAATTTTAGACCATGCTCAAATATCTGCAGATACGAGAACTCGTCTTACGTCTCGACGGGTACGATAATGTGCCCGAAATACAATCATATTTCTAAGATGTAACATTACGTATCGATCCGATCGTTTTTAGAGCTGCCTAGTTCACATAATCGCACTAGCCTTAAATTGTTAACTCGAGTCACTATAAGATATAGCTACCGCAGTTAACGTACACTCCGAAAACATTTCCTTTCTTACGTCAAGACGCGACGAACGCACGCGACAAACGTATCGATCGTCTCCGATGCGTCGGTTCGGTCCTCCCGCGATTTAAAGCGGTTCATTTCCCCGCGACATAACATTCGGCCGACGCGCAAACTGGGTTTCGAAAAAGATTATAACTCTCGGAACTTAAAACGTTCGATCGCCGCGTCAACTCGAGTGCGGGAGATATTTTTTTAATACTTCGCGATGGAGGAAGCGAAACGCGTCAAACGATCACGGCGATCGCCCACCTCATCGAGGCGGGCGAGGTTTTTTGAATACAACGGGTGCCCTCGCGACTCTAAGCGTCGCCGGGCCGGGGCGGCGGGGCGGGGCGGGGGCTAGGGCTCCGTGGCGGGGCGCTCGGTGGGCGGCGGCGTGGACGCGGTGAGGTTGGCCTGCAGCGCGGCCAGCGCGGCGTGCGCGGCGGCCGACGTCACGCGGCGCCAGGGCGAGCGCGCGCGCACGGCGTACGCCGCCTCCTCGAAGCCGTACTGCAGCCCGAGGATGATGCTGAGCGCCGACGCGTCCTGCCCGTGGCAGCCCGAGTACCGGTACTGCGGCTTCTTGTCGAACCGGCATCCGCCCGATTGAGCGCCTGCGAATTCAAAATTCGTTCAGTTTCGAAGGCTCACCTGCTTTTGACAGAAAAAATCTGTTCATTGTAATAATAAATTATGTCGATAACCGATAACTTGATCGGTAATATGTAATATTAATGACTTCTCATATTAAATATATCGATAACGACTGATACGATCCGATATGCGGATCGAACGAGTCTTTTGATAATTTATTTATTTATTTTTATTTATTTACACTTTTGCACATACAACTGTACAGTGGCGGACTTAATGCCAAGTGGCATTATCTGCCAGTCAACCACAGGTCGAGCAGAGAGACTAAGGCGGTGTAATAAATATGACGTTTAATTAATATACTTACATAGCATTAGATAAAATAAATAACATACGAATACATATTAATATAATAGACATACACCTAGATACATAAACATAATAATAATATTGGCTGTTATATTATCATTATTATGATAATCTGTTTAATTTTATTATATTTTAAGCAGACATCACGACGGGCGATCTCGCCTGAGATTAAGAGCCATTTTACATTTTCGTGCTAATTTCTANTATTACATTATAAGGTCATTCAGACTAGTGTCCTATGCACAAATTGGTTAAATTGACATGGCGATATACGGCAATGAAAAATTTTGCATATTGATAACAGAAACTTGTTACAATCTTCCATTTGTACACTTAAAGAAGATACTTGGAGTAATTTGAATAAACGAATTGACCTCATTTTGGCTGGAAAAATACTAGTATGTTTTAAGCCTTATCACAATATTTGCCGAGTGTGAGCGAACTGAGCGATTGTCAAGCGTTTTAACACGTGCACAAGGCACATTCGCTGCGTTTTTTTTTATCAGCATCAAACATTTCCAACCTGTAGATATTAAGGTGAGGCAGCAATCGCGGGGTATGTCTATAAAATGTCTGTACAAGCCTAACAGTGATCTTCTAATGTGTTTCCATCACGGAAAGAAAAAAAAAGTCAAAAGTTTTTTCTTAAGTGTTTTTTATGTGCTGCGGATTTCGGCACGCGCATATGAAATAATGAAATGCGTGCAGCCCGCATGCGGATTACATCCGCACGCATAACAGGAAAAACGCACTAAATCATCTATCACCTGATTCTATGCCGACTTTTGCACTAAGTATTCTAATTTCAAATTTCATATTAAACTAGCTTTCCGCCCGCATGACAAAAGGGCTATTTTAGGGTTTTCCCAGAAATTATTCGAACTTTTCTCATCGTAAAAACCATCCTTAAACGTCAACGAACATTAAAAAAAGAATTGGTAAAATTGGTCCAGGCGTTGTTGAGTTATGCGCTTACCAACACATTTTGCGTTTCATTTTTACATTATAGATTAATTTTCTTTGTATAAAGTAACATGTAACATAACACGTACCTGTAAGTTCGCACACTTCTGCGATGAGGAAAGCGGCGTACGACATGAGAACAAACAGCGCAGACTCCAGCAGCGGCCATTCGCGGACATGCGTGAACTTCGTCATGTGCACAGTGGTTAAGGAAATATTGCATTAATTGAATATATTAATAAAGTCGTAAATTGATTCTCAACTATCAAAACATTGTAAGTAATTGGTAATTCCCCAAATGAAAAGATGGAATTTTCTGAGACACGTAGTTTGGCGCGCATCGCAATGCAGACCGGTTTTCTAGCTCATTTTCATTATTAAACGGTCTAAATCGTCGAATTTACCGATGGCATTTTAAAATTATGGCAATTCTACCTAGAAACCAGTTTTATGCCGTTCATTATGCTTCATGTCGAGTTTCGAGTGATTATTATTACTGATTAATTTATGAAAATCACCATTTACCATTTGAGATAAAAAAAGTTTTTCTTATTCTTATATTTTCGCATTCAGCGCAATCGAAATCGATGTTAAAATTATTTTCACGAAATGGAATAATCTATTAAAAAGGATATCAATGCAGTCAGACAGCCCATAAAAGCACCGACGAGGAGAGAAAGGCTGAATATCCCGATGAAATCTCCTATTGCACCCAAGAACGCAGTGATTTCGAAGCCACCATCGTTAGAGTACCTCTTTTCATAGTTTTGTATGGCACTGAAAAAAAAACCCAAGTGTATTATTGATAGAATCTATTTAATTTATATTTCTGTTTTCATGGCAATATTTTCCTTTTTGACCAAGTAGGTAATCCTATGATCACCGGAAAATAGAGGCGTATTTATTTCAGTATAGCGTTCCACCATAATGTGGAGGATAATTTTCCTTTTTTGTTCCAGTCCAAATGAGCAGTCACGATGACATCACGGCTTCGTGTCACGTGAGGCGAAGATAATAATGCAAAGTAATTACCCGCTCAATACTAACGCCACAGCATCGTTAAGGACGCTCTCTCCGAATATCATGGCGTACAAGTTGACATCCACCTAGAATAAATATGTAGCCATTTAATATTAATAATTAACAAGATTTTAACAGGCGCAAAAGATTCATCAAAGTCAAAAACATTAATCAACGTTTACAGCAATAAATATTTTGGATTTATCTTTTTGTGACTACGAAACTTTTTGTATGCCTCTATGCAGGTATGAGTTTTTATGCGATGAGGTAAACAAGTTTTTAGAACTGAGTCTGTACCTAAGCATAATAAAAACTAATTCATTTGTGATTGGAGTATTAATAACAAAGTCAATAAGGATTTAAATGAATGAGTGTGTAATTCAAGCAAAGCATTTACTCTATTCTGCACTTAAATGATATTTTAATAAATAAGTAGAGTAAATATTTAAAATTCAGTATAACACGTCAAATTAATGAGTGTATTAAGTACAAATTAAATTAATACCAGATGGCCAAAACAATCCCAAGGAGCTTAACCCTTTAACCGCCGGAATATGTGTCACGGACTGAGTACGGAACAGCTGTTAAGGGGTTAATCAAAAAATTCTGTCGAATAAAAAATAAGTAAACCAGAACTTACTTTCAGCTGAGAAAATATAGCCAGGACAGTTAACGGATCGGTGGGTGAGATTAATGCACCAAAGTACAAGGTGTCTAGAAAAGTGAAGCTGGCTGCAAGTGACGCTGGCATGAGCTGCACGCAGCCATACATTAGAGATCCAATCACTAGCGCAGAAAGAGCCGTACCAACCATCGCAAAGGTTAATATTGCCCCTAAGTTACGGAAGAAATATTTCTGAAATAAAATGTGTTAATGTTTAATTTTCCAACATTACGGTGCCTTGAAAAAATGTGTAGTGTCATATATTATTATTATTCAATAATTTATTTATACAATAATCTTCTTGAAATATTATAAGATCATTCATCACCATTATACTTTTACCAATCTCAACATTATGAAGTAGTTATGTTAAGTAACAACTTAAGGGAGTAATAGACATTTTATTTCAAACTTACCCGTTTAAGACAGTATCCAGCATGGAAAATAATTGGAGGCAGGATGATGTTAAAAAATATTTCAGGATCAAACGTTGCTTTCAGATCTATTTCATTTTGCTCTATATTCACTATTTCACCTCTAAAGCTATAGGCATAGGTCTTATTTGGGACTGGGATGTCTGTAAGCAAAGTAATGTGTTATTTCATTGAATGAAAATAATAATAATATAAACTTTATGTTGCTTGAATTAAAGTAAGTTTTACCTCCAGCATGTGATACTTGCAACTTGTCGGGGAAGTGAAATCGTAGGACATCAGGCGGCACAGATAAGTTGTACTTGNCTAAACTACCTCCCTGACAATTTTCAGCAATTTTCAGCTCTAAACTTTAGAGCCAGGAGAAGGACATAGGATACTTTTTATCCCGTTCGAAAAAAAAAAAGTCTGCTTATTTATTGCCATTAAGGCGGAACAAAGTTCGCCGGGTCAGCTAGTAGTACATAAAAAGAAAAATAAAATACGTATTTATGGAAAATAAAGTCACTTTTATTTATATTTTCCGGTATTAATTGTAATTTTTGGTAAGTACGTACTATTTGTACTAATAAAATTATGAAAATTCGAAATAATAAAGTTAGTATTCAGTCTGACTCTCACTTATTGCTGTATGTATCTGAAAATACTTAAGTAATAATACTATTAAACTCTTATTAATAATTTACACAGACTTAAATCAACAAAACAGTCTTTTAAATGGCAATGCCAGATTTTGTATGGAAGGTGGCGTCTTTTTTTTTCGCGCGGCCATCGACCAAACTTTGTTTTTTGATTACAAAATATTGTAATAAACCAAACTTACTATGACATGTATACCTCTAAACTCAGTCTGAACTGAGTTAGGAGCGTTAGAAGTTTGATGATTTACATACTAGATTTGCTTTTTGCGCGCAAGTTTTGTAAGAAATTGCAACAAAATATTGCGCTATTTTTTTATTGCGCTGATTCTACTCCACACTGATGCCTTTAATGGATGGTATTGTTTGTTTACACATACAATGTCACTATTTTATTGCAATTTCTTACAAAACTTGCGCGCAAAAAGCAAATCTAGTATGTAAATCATCAAACTTCTAATGCTCGTAACTCAGTTCAGACTGAGTTTAGAGGTATACATTTCATAATAAGTTTGGTTTATTACACTATTTTGTATCCAAAAAACATGGTTTGGTCGATGGCCGCGCGAAAAAAAAAAGACGCCAATTTCCGGCATTGTCTTGTACTTATAAATTCAACTTCAGTTCTTTTTAAGAAATAATCTGACTCCTAAGAAACAATAAAACAAGAAGTATTTATTTTTTGCAAAGGAAAATGCAATGTAGTGTCGCGGCACGTCTAGCGATCTGGCAAATGCGCGCGCGCTTGACTTTCCCAGTTCACGTTCGCGTATTTTTTGCTTTACCGGATCCGCCACCGGTACCGGCGCCGACTCACCGGATCCGGTAGTTCCAAAAACACGCCGGATCCGCCGGATTACCGGATCCGCCGGACCGGATTGCAATCCCTAGTCGGCCCATCTCTACTGATTATTTATGAATATTATGATCACCATTTACCATTTGAGATGAAAAAAGATTTTCTAATCTTAGTTTTCCGCATTCAGCGCAATCGAAATCAATGTTAAAATTATTTTCACGAAATGGTATAATCTATTAAAAAGGATATCAATGCAGTCAGACAGCCCATAAAAGCACCGACGAGGAGAGAAAGGCTGAATATCCCGATGAAATCTCCTATTGCACCCAAGAACGCAGTGATTTCGAAGCCACCGTCGTTAGAGTACCTCTTTTCATAGTTTTGTATGGCACTGAAAAAAAAAACAAATTGTATTATTGATAGAATCTATTTATGTTTCTGTTTTTATGGCAATATTTTCCTTTTTGACCAAGTAGGTAACCCTATGTTCAACGGAAAATAGTGGCGTATTTATTTCAGTATAGCGTTCCACCATAATGTGGAGGATAATTTTCCTTTTTTGTTCCAGTCCAAATGAGCAGTCACGATGACATCACGGCTTCGTGTCACGTGAGGCGAAGATAATAATGCAAAGTAATTACCCGCTCAGTACTAACGCCACAGCATCGTTAAGGACGCTCTCTCCGAATATCATGGCGTACAAGTTGACATCCACCTAGAATAAATATGTAGCCATTTAATATTAATAAATAACAAGATTTAAACAGGCGTAAGAGATTCATCAAAGTCAAAAACATTAATCAACGTTTACAGCAATAAATATTTTGAATTTATCTTTTTGTGACTACGAAGCTTTTTATATGCCTCTATGCAGGTATGAGTTTTTATGCGATGAGGTAAACAAGTTTTTAGAACTGAGTCTGTACATAAGCATAATAAAAACAAATTCATTTGTGATTGGAGTATTATTAACAAAGTCAACAAGGACTTGAATGAATGTGTAATTTTCTTCAAACAAAGGAGTTACTCTATTCTGCACTTACAATATAAATTAAGCAGATATTTTAATAAATAAGTACTGTAAAAGTTTTAAATTCATGTATATCACGTCTAATGAATGAGTGTATTAAGTACAAATTAAATTAATACCAGATGGCCAAAACAATCCCAAGGAGCTTAACCCTTTAACCGCCGGAATATGTGTCACAGACTGAGTAGGTACGTGAACAGCTGTTAAAGGGTTAATCAAAAAATTCTGTCGAATAAAAAATAAGTAAACCAGAACTTACTTTCAGCTGTGAAAATATAGCCAGGACAGTTAACGGATCGGTGGGTGAGATTAATGCACCAAAGTACAAGGTGTCTAGAAAAGTGAAGCTGGCTGCAAGTGACGCTGGCATGAGCTGCACACAGCCATACATTAGAGATCCAATCACTAGCGCAGAAAGAGCCGTACCAACCATCGCAAAGGTTAATATTGCCCCTAAGTTACGGAAGAAATATTTCTGCAATAAAATGTGTTAACGTTTAATTTTCCAACATTATGGTGCCTTGAAAAAATGTGTAGTGTCTATTAATTTATTTAATATTAGTTGGTTTACTTAACTAATAATTTAACATTAATTTTCTTGAAATATTTATAATATTTCATCATCATTATACTTTTATCAATCTCTATATTATTATTATGAAGTAGTTATGTTAAGTAACAACTTAAGGAAATAATAGACATTTTATTTAAAGCTTACCCGTTTAAGACAGTATCCAGCGTGGAAAATAATTGGAGGCAGGATGATGTTAAAAAATATTTCAGGATCAAACGTTGCTTTCAGATCTATTTCATTTTGCTCTATATTCACTATTTCACCTCTAAAGCTATAGGCATAGGTCTTATTTGGGACTGGGATGTCTGTAAGCAAAGTAATGTGTTATTTCATTGAATGAAAATAATAATAATATAAACTTTATGCTGCTTGAATTAAAGTAAGTTTTACCTCCAGCATGTGATACTTGCAACTTGTCGGGGAAGTGAAATCGTAGGACATCAGGCGGCACGGATAAGTTGTACTTGGTGTCTGGTGCTGGATGCACATCGATGTGCGTGATCTGGTTAGTGCTGCCAGCATATCGTATGATAGCTCCAACGATGAGGCCTGCATGAAAATATTACATTTATAGACAAGTAAATAATGTTCCTTTGTCACAAAAACTGACCTATTTTAGTTGATATTCATTGCAGTTCATTTTAAAATAAACATTAATATTCCCAGTGTATTTAGGCCTAGATTCACTCAACCAAAGAAGCATTTAGAATAATAATAAGGATGAGGTAACAACCAGTAGAGTTGATTTTGCAATGGAAAGTAAATTACTAAGTGAAGCTATTCTTTATTATAGGAAGGCACAACTTGTTGTTACATAAATCGCAGTATCGCAGTAAAAAACCAAGGTCTGCTGATCACATGTTTACCTTTAACAATTAGGACTAATAGGTATCTAAATACCTACTTGCTCCTCTTCTCTACAGTAGGTTCTAGAAGTCTACTCACCATAAATTACTGCCAATCCTGTTTCATGGAGCCAGCTCACTCGACGATGCTTGAATACCCATATAGTAAGAACAGTTAGGGTAAGAAGGCAGGTATAAATCAGAAGATTCAAGCTATCAATGCGATGTAGCAACGTCGCTTTTGCATCTAATGCGATATCCGTGCCCGATCCACAGCAAAATAATACAGCATGTAATAAGACACCAAGGAAAATTATAGTATGCATGTTTATCGTTTTTTGGTGTAATCTACACTTTTAATTTAAAGTAAATAAAAAAACACTTCACATCTGTTCACATCTCAATGTATTGACGCAACCAGAAGAACCCCACACAAAACACTTTTAATCTAGTTAAAGATTCAGATTTTGAAAAACATTTAATAAAATTATGTGGAGAGCATCAAGAACTTTTACAATTTCAGTGATCCGACGAAATTTTTCGTGAAAATCCAAACTATTCGATACGGTACGACGAAGTGTATAATCATGTAAAAATAAAAGTAATATTATGAGTTCTCTTTGCATCCCTTACTTATGCATAGTTGGAACGCGTAAAAAAGAGATAGAAGTATATCTGTCAGTAGATCTCCTAAATTTAGTCGGATTATACGCATCAAATGTCATTTGACTTTCCACACTGTCACATGCAAAGGCATAAAATATTATTCAGTATGATTGGAATTTTATCCTCGTTTCTTCGTTCGTCAGTATTCTTTTTATTTTTTACAAAGAGATTTTTACGAATGTTTTTAAATAATTTAGGCATTCTAATAAAATATTATTAATTTTTGAATCGCGGTTGGCACTTTGAAAGTTCACTCTTTTTTGCAAAAGATTTTTTACACCCAATATTATAAATGCTAATATTTTATTTCATTACTTAAACCTACATAATATGTTTGATACTCGCACACTAAAATAACTCTATGTTGGGAACATAATAATAATAATGCCTCGCGCACGGCCNACATAGTTGGGGCACAAAAAATTTCTGGTTGAGAGGCGGTCATAATGAACCAGAAAAATATTGACAGAGTAAGATGGAGAGGACGACTAAATTGCATGACTCTACCTATGATTGTGATCAAATACAGAGATGGGTTTATTGGTTTCTTTCACTTCCAGATTTCAGGAAAGGTTACTTCGCACGCAAGAGGCTCTAACCTACTATTCTTTTTCTTGCAGTGTTGATATGGGATTGAGTTCATTGAGTAGATAGGTACGATGATATCTCTTAAACTCTGGCTGGAAAAGTCTTTTAAGACCACACATTACGATCACGAAAAGAGCTGTACATGAAAATAAAGATTTAGGTTTGCAATTGTTATACAAATGAATCAAAGCTACAATTTTGGAAGGAATATTTTGTAAATAAATTGATTAGGAGTAGTTTGTACCTACATACACTAACTAATTTTGTTAAAATAGGTTCAGCATTTCAAAATAGTAGTTAGGTGGTACTTGATAGGAATCCTGCTTAAAGTTTTTCTCATTTTTCCCCCAAGTCGATGAGTTTACTAAAAATAATAGTGTTTTGATCGGTTTTATTTCCCACAGTTGTTGAATAAAACTGGTTGGTCAAGGCATTATTATTAATACAAGTCAAGGCTTGTAGGTTGCAGGACTACTCAAATCGTGCAATTTTTCGTAGTTTCAATGTCATTCGTTGTATAATGAAAATTTATGTTATTATCATTACATTTTCTTTACCTACAACTTAAGATAATCGATTGCAAACTTTCACCCACATGACGTTTGGTCTATCACAGAAAGCTTTTATCTCATGTCTCCTTATCAAACACACTGAACCATAATAATGTATGATTACTATACCTACACTAACATATTATACCTACACTCTGTTTTCTTTTATATATTTTGTTTAATTTTTAAACATAGTTTCCTACAATAGTTTATTAAGGTGACTATTATACCTACTTATAGAGACTAAGTAGTAACATTAAAATATTGTAAGTAATTTCATTTACCTGATTAATAACACTCTGAAACTGTTAGTAATAGTCTGATCTGAATGTTCCCAGACCACTTGTAAAGATTCTTTTGTGTAACAAGTTTTAAAGTTTACCGCGACACAAGCTTCGCTTAGTGCGGTATCCGCTAGATATAAGGACTTTATGTATTTGGTTTTACTGGCAATAAACGTTTTATTTATTATTATTTATTTATTTTCTTAAGTGTAACTTCAGAAGTACCTACATAAGTAATTCTATTTCATCTCGTTATTATGTAGAGTTTAGCCCAGCACTAGGCGCAAAAACGTAGCATAGAAACAAAAATAGACTTTCGCAATCTCTACCATCCACATCTTTACGTCCATGCGTACCTACCGTCAAAAACTTATAAAATATTTCTAAACAAGACATTATTATGTAAAACGGAACTTACTCAGTAAGTAAATATGAAAATTATAGGTTCTCACTTCTCTCAGGTAAAAGTCGTAAGCCAGGTGAGATTTCCTTTAAGGAAAACTGCGGTACTTTATGTTACAGTTCCAACCTTACTGACGCAATTTAAATTACTAGCCATGGTAGAATGTAACCCACTTGATAACATTTCGTGAAACTACACTACATTACTCTGTGATTAGTGACACATCGCCTGCAGTTGAATTGTATAGGGATATTTCCTATGACGTTTTATGGAAACCGAGTAATATTTCTATCAAAACTGAACCGATGCTAATTANTATAATTTTAGCTTAAGGCACCCCCCCTGTCATGACATCACGACCGTCCTTGCCATGCAGATGCGTCAGTGAGTACTAATCTGCGCGACTTTGCGCGACTTTGTCACCCCCTGATGCTTGGCACCAGGGGCGGACCGCCCCCACCGCCCCCCCCTTACGCCGCTACTGATGCTAATTATAGTTCTAGCAACTCACAAAGGCGAGTGAGATTTACTTGTGTGTGTAGGTACGTGTACATGCACATAACGATAGTAATGTCTATCAAAACTTTTGAAAAACAATCAGTAGTGAGCCACCACACATGTAAAGCTCACTCGCCTTCGTACCTAGCTATTTACCTTATAATGAATAGGTACTTATTTCTAATCTAAGTGTAACTCATTTAGTTGTTAATATCGTAGACCGGAAAATTAATGGAGAGTCCAGATGTCGTAAATCACCATGCTTAATCTAATACCATTCTTCTTCCTTCATCGGTTAATCCCTGTCGGCTCGTATCCATATTCCTGATAATAATTCCCTGTTCTTTTTGTTTTTGCATTTAAAACACTGAAAACCATGTTAAATATTTTACTTTAATAATATTAGGTAAGTAGGCAATTAAAGTATTTGTAGGTATATGTTAGTTCTTTTGTTCTCAGGCCATTCAACTTTAAACATGTTAAATGTTTTATAATGTGTGCTTTCTTAATTACCTGTTACTGTGACGTAGATTTTTCTATTCGTATGGAATTGTTTAAAAACAAAAGACTCTACAATAATAAAACGAAGGGATATTCTATAACATAGACAAAATCTTTCAAAATATAGATAAGCAAACATCAATATTCGGATTATTAATTAAATAGTTTAAATAAATTCCTTTGAAATTCATGGTACCTAATACCGTATTTGTCAAGATCATATTTGAAAAAATAGGTTAGTGACTTTGAAGCTTGTATCTTGGAAGTGATAATGATCCCATGTTCGCGTGATGATTGCAGTCAACGAGATAATGACGCTGTGGGCTATTGAGAACTAAATTATCCAACTGCGGTGCTTATTGCTGATCCAATAAAGTACTTTACGAGTTGCAACTTTGTAAAGGAGACATATTTGAAATACTTGGACTTGACAGAATTTTGAATAATAACTCGATGAAGAAAGGTGGTAGGTTGGGAAATCAGACCTCTAGAAGGCTAAATGCAAAGTACACAATAAATAAATATAGTAAAAATGTTGTCTGATTTAAGCGCAGTCTAAACAATGAGGTCTGTAGATGCAAATGAGATATATTGCAGTTATGTAAGAATTATTTCATGCTTGTTAACATTGACATCTGGCTGCAACTGCAACCGTGATGTTTTGTTTCATTTCCATATTTAACTCATGTTATTGACTAGTTATCAATAGTTTAGCAAACCGAGTAAGGCCTGATTTGACCAATTTTTTATGCGAGAATAACTCCTGGTATAACTGGCATATTGACAGTTTCAGTATGGAAAATACATATGTCAAAATTGACGATTTATTCTGAGATTTAATATTTACTCTTGTTTGGTCGAATCGACTCTAAGTGGGCAAGTAAAAAAATCATATAAGCAACCATCTCCGGATCAATATTTGTTTCTGTGGTAATAATAGTACCCACCTAGTTTGGTAGGGAATTTTGGGATTTCTCTACAACGAACCTACTTACTCGTACCTATATCCGGGGAAAGCTGTCGTAAAACCTTCTACTCATAATAGGTTCAACGAAAGTATGCAAGTTCAAATCAGATGCGGACTGACGCAATCATTTCAATCATTCGACACAAACGATTAAATTATTATTGCATTTCTAAGATGATTGAGAGCATGATTTAGTTCAGGGTGACGGCTAAAAATGCGGTCTAGTATACTCTAGTTAAAGTTTAGGTTCAATAACAAAAAGTTTGAGATTTGAGACCTTGAGCAAAATAGTAGATCGCGATTTTACAATACATCGATAAGTACGGTAATAGTAAGGTTTTTAGTTTCGTATAATATTTTATTCCAAATCGACCCTGTGCAAGGCAATCCCGAGATCAATACAAATTGCTTGGTAATGTAGAGACGTAGATAGCATTTAAAACTCGTTATTTTTAAAGCGCTACATTACTTATACCATGCCCATTTTAGAAAGGACGCCGAATTCTTAAGGATAACAAATGAGTAATGATAATGTATTCCGAGTTTGAATGTTTCAGTGTCACTCTTATCAATTAATGCTACCTGTTGTCGTCAATGGGTTTTGAAATTGCAACGCTAACAGCTGTAACCTGCAGTATAGACTTATAGGCGCAGGCGCAGTGCGCGGCGGAGATCCGTGCACGACACACGTACCCGCGACAATCGACCTTCCAAACAACAATCACTCCGCTCAATGACCATTTCCTGAGCCCTGGCCCATTGTAGAGCCATGTGCAGAACTTAAAGTTGTAAATTAAAACCTAAGTGATAATAAAAGTGATATTCTTTGTAAGATATTTTAGTGAATTTAAATAATGAAAATGTATAAATTAATATTTTTGATTGCTGTCTCTATTTGTGAAGGGTAAGTTTTAGTATTGAAATTAATGTTTTACCAACAACTTAATGATAAGTCGAGGTTATATTAAATTTTAAGGAGCCTATTTAGAGGTTTCTTAAAATTTGATACAAGTTACTTAACTAATACATAACATATGGTGTACGTTAAGTACTATTAACCAACTTCATTTTAACAAAACAATTAGATTTAGAAGTTTTACAATGACAATAAATTCAAGTTAAGTAATT